TCCCTCTGCCCACTCCTCTTCCTCCCTCCTCAATCGCCCCCCCTCCTCCCCCTGCCTCTCCTCTCCCTCCTTCTCCTTTTTTGCCTGGGAAAGACTCGGGTCAGCGTGACCATAGCGTTCGCAAGACCATAAAAAGACTTCGTATGCAACAGAATGCGATTAGAGAAGCAAGCGTGGCGAACAATAACAAAGTGGTGCGACTGAGTGCAGTACGAACAAAGTTGGGAAATCCTACTCCTCCTCCTCCTCCTCCTCCCCTCCTCCTCCTCCTCCTTTTCCTCCTCCTCCTCCTCCTCCTCCTCCTCCGTTTCCTGCTCCTGCTCCTGCTCCCACAAGCGGCCGTTCAGAGGTCGGGCGGGCGCCTGCGCGAACGAGCGAGGTGACCTCGGGGGGGCCCGGCACCCGCTGAACCGCCCAGGGCCCGACGAAACCCCTGTGGAGGAAAGCACACCGACGACGAGGGAGGAGGAGGAGGAGGAGGAGGAGGAGGAGGAGGAAAAGGGCAGAGGAGGATGAGGAGGAGGAGGAGGAGGTGGAGAAGAAGGAGGTGGAGGAGGAGGAGGAGGAGGAGGAGGAGGGAGGAGGCAGGAGGCAAGAGAGAATGAGAGAGAGAAGGGAGAAGGGGGAGAGGGCGAGAGGCGGAGATGGAGGAGGGGAGGACAAAGATGAGGAGGAGCAGGAGGAGGACGAGAGAGGAAGAGGAAGAGGAGGAGCGCCAGTGCCCGCGAGAGGAAGAGGAGGAGGAGGAGGAGAAAGAGGAGGAGGAGGAGCAGGAGGAGGAAGAAGGGAGAGAAGGAGGAAGTCGGATCGGGCTACATCGACACGGAGTCGAGTCAATTCGGATCGGCTGTGCCAGGAAGCACAAAACGCCATGTAAGTATCGGGTAGCATCGGATCGCCAAAATATCGGATTCGGATCGGAACGAATTGGTCGGAATCGATATCGAATTGGACAGATCGGATCGAAATAGACCCTGGGATCTCTGAGATCCGGCGGCTCTGGAGAATGCATCGGGCGCCGAGGCGATTCCAGAGCGCTCCTGAAGGCTCTGAGAGCGGAACATCCCGGAGCGGTTTATCCTGGTCTTTGGCCCCGTCCGAGCCCTCCCAGCCCTCCCGCGACAGTGCGGAGACCGCGCGTCCATCGGCGGCGCGGGGCCATAGCGCCGCCACGAACTCGCGGAGCGGGAGACTGGCAGGATGTGACCCATCTCTGACTGACTCGGGCCCCAGCGCCTCGCCACTCCCTGCCGCCCCCCATCATGGTCCAATGCCAGCGACCACCCTCTCGAGAGCGATCTCTTGCCGAGGGCGGCCTGCGTGGGTCTGTAGACCTGACGCGGGCCCGCCGCAGGCGTGAGCGCCGGCTGGAAGAACGGCAGACCACCTCCGGTCCGTCGACGAGCTCCGTGAGGGGGAGGAAGAGGAGGAGGAGGCGGAGGAGGAGGAGGAGGAGGCACCCGAGCTCACCCGCAATTGGCCGATTCTGCCGTCGGAGCCGCTCCACCGCCGCAGAGAGTGGCCTGGTCCTGCGCACGTGGATGCTCGGGGGCTGCGCAGGAGCAGGGAGCGCTGGCGCAGCCCCTGGTGCGTGTCCTCCCTCCTCCTCCTCCTCCCCCTCCTCCTCCTCCTCCTCCTCCTCCTCCTTCTCCTACTTCTCCTCTTATTACGATCCATCGTACTAGTACTCATGCTCTGAGAACACTGTCGTTGAGAGAATCAGCATTACGAGATGGATTAGGCATACAAGGTTGTTGATATGTTTCGTCTCACTACTTGCAGTAGTAGTAGTAGTAGTAGTAGTAGTAGTAGTAGTAGTAGTAGTAGTAGTAGTAGTAGTAGTAGTAGTAGTAGTGGTAGTAGTAGTGGTGGTAATAGTAGTAGTAGTAGTAGTAGTAGTAGTAGTAGTATATATTAGTAGTAGTAGTGTAGTAGTAGTAGTGTAGTAGTAGTAGTAGTAAGTAGTAGTAGTAGATCGT